GTTTTGTTTGTTAAGCTGCATCCTAAAATCAGATATTAAATCTTCCCACAGTAACAAGTAGTTTTGAATATGATGTATATTTACTAGAGAAGTAGCAGCTCAGTAAAGCTGAGAAAGCAAGCCTTTCGGGAATACCGGGCAATTTTGTTTAAACTAACTGCTGCCTCCTTTCTAGCTATTGTGTCTCTTTAGATGTTATTCACAACACTTCTGTGGTAAAACATCATCATCAGAGATGAAATGCTTCTTGTGGATGTATATCATCACCATCTTTTCCTTCTACAGAGGGCATTCCACTTTATTAGAATGATCTTCCAGATCCATGCTACCCTTGGATCTACTTCCTTCATTATCAGTCATGCTCACTTTGATGGCCATGGTTATTCACTACTGTCCATCTTTGTGATTTGTATTTGTAACAAACTTGTGCAGAGGATGATGAGGTTAATCTTAAACCAAACATCCTCACAGACTTTCCACAAATGATCTCTATACATACATTGGCTTCTAAGACTATGTTTTAGCAAATCAAGTCTATATAAGTATGAGTGTGTAGTCAGGTGACTTCAAGTGTGTTGTAGAAGGGATAGCTGGAACACCAGTTTCAATCTATGGTTTATAGAAATGCTGTTGTAGGCTTAAACTTCTAACTCAATGTTTCATTCTGCTAGACCACATTCTTGGTATCCAGACCATATAGTGCCTAGGTTTGTATAGCTCTCTTAACAGACCCTATTCAATTGCAAAATACCATTATAATTTCCAGTTATACACACTAAATTCCCAATTTCTGTTTCACGAGTGTGTGTGCTATTCTCAAACTGTCAAATATGCTTTTTTTTTCCTGTGACACGATGCAAACATTAACTTATCTTCTTTAATAAAATTAATAGAAAATAGTTTGATAAAGTAATTTTATTTAATATTACATAGTGCATGTAATTTTTCAACAAGTTTAGATGAATTGATAGGAATACAATATAGCATGAGGTCCAGTTGGGATACTTTTACACCAGTTTACTTTCATTAAGCTCAAATGTAAAATGTGGGTGTTGCAAACTATGCAGAGCCTTGCAATTATATTTGTACAGAATTTATGATAAGTGTATAATAACACGAAACTGAGTCACTTTGAAAAGTATTATAAAAAGAAATTGGCAAAATGTTCATCACAAACCTGCAGAAATATTTGGAACTTATTAAAATGAGTTAAAAGCAAGGATTTTGGTAGAGTATAATGCTGTGATCAGCAAAGCATCAGCAGGATGATAATTCATTTACTTTTGTGACCGTAACTTGACATAAATGTTCTGTTGATAATAGTACTTACACTTTTACTATTACTACTGATAATAATCTAGAGGAATTAAGGACATCTTCTGTACAAATGATTGATTTAAGCAAGCCTAAAAACAAGAAAAATAAAGAAGAAAATCCCCATTTTGTAATGAGAGTGGCAATAAATTATTGCATGTATAATATTTAATAGTAGAATTCTTATTCTTAGTGTATTCAGTGCTATTACCAGTAATCATAATAATAGGCATGCAGTCATTAAAAAACTAATATGTAATGTTAGATTATCTCTCCTGTAAAAATAAAATAAATAGTTGTAAGTCCGATAATGGCACTATTTATCTGAAGGGAATGGCAGGAAAATACAAATGTAATGAAAAATACAATGCCATGTATTTTTAGCTTTGCTGTAGTAGCATTAAGAATGGTGTATAGTTTGGAGAATCATCCAAATAGTCCATTTCAAGAATGAATGTACAGTTTGGGAGATGATCCCAATATGTTCTTTTCAAATATGAAGTTTTCCACAGCCACAAAGAAGTTGCTACTAGAAAAACTTTGGCTTTAGCAAATATATCAAAAGGAAATAATTAATCAGTGGGTCAGCACCAGCAGGAAAAGACAGAGTTAAAAACAAATCAACAGTAAATATGGAAAAAAATATAACTCCTACATTGCAAATTTTGAAGAATTTGTGAAATTTTTGGTTTATATTGGGATAGAAAATATCAGAAACCATTTTGAAACAACTAAAGAAAGTTGTACTTACCTTTCCAGTTATACTTTTTCTTAATTTGTAATAGCCATCTCTACATTTTTAAACGAATCCTCTGACATGAATGTACAAACATATGTAGTTTCAAGTAGGTGTGTATGTCTGAGTATGTGGTAGAAGAAATTGAAGTGAGATGCCACTTTCATATGTTAATTCAATATAAAAAAAGTAATTTTTATAGTTTATGTGACAGTATTAAAAGCCCCCCAGTGGCACAGCGGTATGTCTGCGGACTTACGATGCTAGAATCCGGGTTTTGATACCCGTGGTGGGCAGAGCACAGATAGCCCATTGTGTAGCTTTGTGCTTAATTACAAACAAACAGTATTAAACATTCTCTGAAAGTTGGTTTAAACAATGTGTTGAATATGTGGACTGAGTTTATTGTTTATCTCTGCCATTTTTCTTGATTTTGGGACAACATTTTGAGTTCCATGCTATGTCCTTCATCAGGTCTGTAATTTATGAAAAGAGGAGAGATAGTAAAATAGTAACTCAGCCCTCACAGAGCTCTCAACTATGAAGAAGTTTGTTGAATCATGTTTTTATCAAGTTTCTGTAGGATGTGATTCCACATATTTCTAGTTTGTAGGCTTTGGGTCTCAGTTGATCTTTATTCTAATATCTTTAATTAAGTTCTCAGTATTGTGCATTATTTAAAATCATGTACTTGTTCTGTTCCTAAATGAAGCTGAAGAATTCAAACTCCTTATTTGTACTACTTTGAAACAATACAAGACACAACAGTAAAACATAGCTAGTAAAGAGAGTAGCTGTGAAGTTATTTAAACAAGACACCAGCATCATCAGCTTATGAACTGACAAAAGCAACCAAACTGTTATTAAACTTGAACTGATAAATTTTAAAACTATAAGACTTCTGAAGAAAAATATGCTATGTAATTTAAACTTGTAATCATTTAATGGATGCAGACTTCTGAAGTTATGTGATCTGCTCAGAGAACATAAGCAATTCAATTTGCCACCAACTAGTCCATTACCTTTTATCTATACTAACTCCTTCTAGAAAGACATGCAGATTTCAAGTAACAAACTCCATAACTTTATATCAGAACCTAGATATTTATATCCAACTAGCATCATCATCTTACCTGCTGACAAAGGCAATTAAACTGTACTAGCAAATCAAGTTTACTACTATGAAAAGCTACAGGCTTAAGCAATGTTGTGATGTTGATACTAGACAGAGATGTAACAAAACTGTACATTCAATGTGAGGAGGTTAAAACCGGCTCTCGTGTTCAATACTGGTATGAAGGACAAAGCTACATACATTTCCATGTATAAGATTGCATGGAATATTGGTCAGAGAACTCGTGAACTGCTCCCTGCGACAGGATGTAACTCCACTAGTGGCCATTTCTCAGTGATAAAAATTAAATATCTAAAATGGGTTTAGCAAAATATGCCAGCAACACATCCCATGTTATAGCAATGCAAATGACAAGGGAAGCACAAAGTGCCTGCTCCACAGTGATTTGCCATATGTGTGATCAAAAATATCACAGTGATGATGTATGGTTAAACATGGGCTGTTTTGTCACAAAACATGTTGAGGATTAGGGCCTACCATTGCTAGTAAATAGTCTCAATCTCTACTTTAAATGGGTAAACTATCAATGTCTCATCTGGAGATGTGCACATGAATGTTGTAACCTGCAGTTGTTCTGCTAAAGACCTAATTTGCACTGCATTGTTTCTATGTAAAGGGGAAGACTTTTTTCATAATCCTTGTGGAAACTCACAACAGGGACTAAGAATTGGTTACTTCTGATGAAAAATAAAATGAAGAACAAACTGACATGTTTTGTTTTTGTAAAAACTGTCTAATTTATGGATAGTGTCTATCATACAGTCTGGAAGCTAGCTTTTGAGAGGGGCCTTAAAAGTGAGTTGAGGCACATTGGGTAAAAATTAAACTGTAAACTAAACATTTAGGTCAAAATGCAAACTAGTTTTTTGTGACTATATAGCCATGTTCAAAACACACTGTAGCCAAATCAGTTAAGGTATTTAGATGCTGTCTGTTATAGAGAGGAGACATACTAAGGTATACAGATGACATGTGAAAAGGAAAGTTGCACAGCCAAGGATGATTCCCCATGTGGGTGAAGTATTCACCTTCCAATCATCCTTGCTCATGTTTTGAAAAATGTTGCCCAACCTAGTTTTAATAAAAGTTATCTTAAAGTATTTAAAATTACAAATTAATGGAACTATGAGGAATGCTTGCAGTTAAGTGTAATGTTAACACTATTGCATAAGTATCAACTTATGTAGGTCATGTTGAAAGAGTAGGTTATGTCATATGTGCTTAAAAAAAAGAAATTCACTTTAGTGTGCAACCAGGTATTTCATTTTAGTTGACAAGCATTGAAATTATTTTAGCTAATTGAAATAACAAAAAGCAGTAAGTCCTTATAGATGCATTGTGAAGGAAGTTTTTAATTTTTTGTTTGTTAATTGATCATTCACTGACCAGAATATATATTTCTTCCTCCTCCTCTGTGTAGCTATATTTGGATAGTAATGGTAAAGAAAAACTCCTTTGTGACCCTTACGTTTAACCATGTTATCTCATCAAAATATGAGTATGTAAAAGTATTAATATTTTGATAAAATGACCTTCATTTGGACCCGTATGTAGGGGGATCTACATTTATAATAGATGGTCAATGGTAAGGTAGATTTTAAGTTGGTAGAAAGCCAATAGGATGTTGTGTGTGCCTTGACAAGAGGTATGAGAGATGGTTCTGGTTGGCTTTGAAACAATGAGAACAATAGCAGGGATAGGTATATGTATCATAGAAAGGTACAAAAAGTTTCAAACAAAATAAAAGAATATTGATCAAAATAGATGTCCATTAGATATAAAATGAAAATGTGCAAGTCTGTGCTTCTAAGACTGTTGGTTTTAATACTGTAAAGGTATTTCATGAGATTAGTTGGAAATGTAATTCTAAGAAAGTTTGTACTTTACTTAAAGGCTCTTTTTTTCAAAATAAGTATGAATTTGATAATTTTCTTCTTCTCAGAATCCTGAGTAATAAAGTCACGGTTGATGAACTGATGGGATTTGACAACACTGGAAATGTTTGTAAGTATTGCCAATTTGGGTTATAATTCAGTTGATATAAAAGTTGATGACTTGTGCTCGTTGGGTGAGGGATAAATTATATGTATGTCATCCAGGATGTTAATTAAAAGGATTTTTCTCATTTAAGAAGACCTATTAGAGGGCATGTTGTTGGAGTTTACATTGAAAAGTAATAAACTTGGCAGTCTTGTCAAAATATTAAGTTGTATTTATTTTGTTTCATTTTTGAATCAAAACTTGAAACTTTTTTTTTCAATCAAAGCAAGGAGTTAGCAACTGTAAAGACCATTTTAACAGTGCCTTGTTGTAATGCATTTATCCTGTGCTATACTATGTGATGAAAATATCAAAAATATATTAATAATAGAGAAAAATAAATATAATTCACAAGTGAAAGACTGGGTCATCTTTCTGAAAACTGAATGGCATTGAAATTTACAATACATCTTGTTTTGTGTGGCATTATACACCAAAGAGCTCTCACCTCCCCAAATAAACAACACAAAAGCTAACTAAAAATTAAAAAGAAAGATTGGGGATGAGATAATTAAAAAGCATACAAGTATATAGTGCAAAATAGTGGTGTCAGATTAACCAAGCATGGGCTCCTGGACAAAAAAAAAAAAGAACTACAATCCCACCATACACTTTTTAACTGATTGGTTGCAGTTGCTCTAAATGTGCACTGAATTTTTGCAAGCCGTACCCTATATGGCAAATCAGCAATTAATGGGTTAAATTATGACATTTATCAACAATCATATTTATAAGAAAAATCATTTATGCAAAAGTCAATATGATGAAATCAGTCAAAACTTCCACATAAAGTCTATCTCATGCACTAGGCCCATGCATTCTCAAATAGGGGCACTTATTTCGTCAAACAAGGATAATTTTTTTTACGTAAAATGCTAAAATCATACTAATTAGCTCAAAATAATTAAACTTAATTACAATATAAAAATGTTAAAACTATAAAAATTATAATTTGTAAAATGCTTGCATATTGATTTTTGCCAAGTTGAGTTTAAATATGAAACTCAATTAATACTTTCTTCAGTTCATTCAGTACGTGCTCATAACCATTTTGTGCTTGTTATAGTTTTCATGCTGTAACTTTTAAATTAGTAAGCTTTTGTTAACAAAATTTGGCAGATTATCAGTAAACATTACAATGCTTTCATATGCAGAATATCAAAA